CGAGAACGGAGAAGGGATTGCGGCGTGGCCATCCCCCCTGGGGGTGATTTCTCGCTTTCTGTCTCTGTCTGGCGAGTGCACGCGCCCTATAGCAAAAAAAAAAAACCTCTCCAAAAAAAAGGAGGGAGACTCAAGGGCAGACGGAGGAACATCCCTATATTAAAGAAAACCAGGCGTCCTGGACCCAGTGGCTTAAAACACTTGCTGGGTGCATGTGCATGCATGCCCAAGATCCCGAGAGGAGAATGGAGGAGAAGGAATTGCAGCATGGCCATCCCCCGTGGAGGGTGATTTCTTGCTTTCTGTCTCTCTGTGTCTCTCTGTCTTTCTGGTGAGCACATGTGCCCTATAGCAAAAAATCGTTGAACTCCCACGTAGTTGGCCATGGTTAGAGTCTCGGACCCAGTGGCTTAAAACATGCCAGGTACCTGTGCGTGTGTGCCCAAGATCGCAAGAGGAGAATGTAGGAGAAGGGTTTGCAGCATGGACATCCTCCTCTGGGGGGTGATTTCTCGCTTTCTGTCTCTATGTCTCTCTCTGTCTGTCTGGCGAGTGCACGCACCCTATAGCGAAAACCTCTCCAACAACAACAAAAAAAATAAAAAGAAAAAAAAAAAGACAACCAGGCTCCAGGAAGGGGACATAGCAGATCTAATGCCTTGAGGTTAGGAGTTGGTTATGGGGATGGAGAGGAGTGAGGGGAAGGAGGGGCAGCCTAAATGAGGATCCAGAGAGATTCACCACCAAATGATAGTGAAGGGGTAGGAACAAGAATTTAAACCTGGCCTGCTGAGAACAAGGAACCTTGCATATACTGATAGCTCTAAAACTGGACCTCTCCTTCTTTGCCTTAAATATCCCTCCCATCAGGTGGGGGAACCAGCCGGAGGCTTGTTGGTCAAGGTAATTGAGTCCCACATGGCTGTGTGGTTCGAGTCCAGACCTGCAGCTTGAAAAAAAAAAAAAAAAAAAAAACTCTGGGTGCATGCATGCCCAGAATCCCAAGAGGAGAATGGAAAAGGGATTGCAGCATGGCCATCCCTCCTAGGTGGGTGCTTTCTCATTCTCCCCCGCCCCTTCATAAATGCACACCCCCACATAAAAATAATAATCCCCCTCAGGAGGGTCAGGTGGTGGCAGTGACTGGCACCTGAACTCACATGGGAAAGATCCTGGATTCCCGACCCCATGATCTGGTTTGGCTGAGCCTGGGATGGATAGATTATAGAATGAGGACTCTGTTGGGAGTGCCTGTCTCTCTCTCCCTCTCATGTTAGAAACAAATAAATTAACAGGGTGGGGGGAGGTGAGCAGATGGTGTAATGGTAACGCTGCTGGACTCCCACATGGCCCTCTGCGGTTCAAGTCCCGTACCCAGCGACTTAAACTCATGTGGGGTCCATGAGCATGCGTGTTCAAAATCCTGAGAAGGGAATAGAGAAGGGGTTGTGAAATGGCCACCCTCTCCTCAGGGATAATTTCTTGCTTCGTGTCTCTCTGGAGTGCATACACCACCTATAGCAAAAAATATCTCTCTTAAAATAATAAAAAACAAGGGGACCAGGGACCAGCAGGTGGCGTGGTGGTTAAGACGTGGGACACTCCTACATGGCTGACGATGGTTCAAGTCCCAGACCTGGTGGCTTGCTTTCTCGCTTTGTCTCTCTCGCCCCCCTCTTCCCTCTGTCTCTCTGGTCAAATTAAGAATGAGTGAATGAATAAATAAAATTAAATAAAAATAAAGTCTTAAAAACAAACAAACAAAAAACAAAGGGACCAGCAGTTGGTGTAATAGCTATGTCGCTGGACTCCCATGCAGTCAACTACAGTTTACAGTCCCGGACCTGTTGGCTTAAACTCCCGCCGGGCACGTGTGCATGCGTGTCCAAGATCCTGAGAGGAGAATGGAGGAGAAGGGATTGTGGCGTGGCCGTCCCCCTGGGTGTGTGATTTCTCGCTTCCTGTCTCTGTTTCTCTCTGTCTTTCTGGGGAGCGCACGTGCCCTATAGCAAAAACCTCTCAAAAATAAAACTAAAACAAAACAAAAAACTATCCCTTCCCACTGTTATCCAGGACTATTATTCAACCTTTGAGGCTAGGGATAAAGACTTTTTTTTTTCTTTTTATAGCCACTACCATGTTCCAGATCACAGTTAACAACACAAAACGACCTGGCACCCGCCTTACATTCAAATTCACTCTTCGCCACTGAAGGTGTGACTTGTTTTGTTTTTATTTTTCCAAATTGCTGGGTCTGGGACTCAAAACTGTAGATGGCCATGTGAAAGCCAGTCACTTTAACCACCATGTCACTGACTGCCCTGAAGGTGTGACTTTGACAAGTCACCATAAGCTACTGGCAAATTTCAGTTTCCTCTTTTACAAAATGGAAACAACCACCCACCCTGTCTTTGCAGGGTCCTTGGGCAGACAGAAGGCACGGCGATTTTAATTCAGTGCCAGGTACAACAGCAGCACTAGCCAAGCCTGGGGGTGGCAATTAGCACTAGGATTTCCCGCTGTTCCCGGGCTCTGCTCCTAACTCAGGCCCCCTGACCTGGGCTGCCAGACTTGCACTCAGGGCCGAGTGCTGCCACTAAGAAAAGCTCCAAATACGTGAGAACTGTTAAAAGCCCCAAACGCTTCCACACTTAAGCAAGTGCGAAGACCCGAGCCCCCTGCTCCTTCCCCAATAATAATAATAAACAGCGGTGATCATCACAATCGTGGTCGTCAGGCGCCCTCAATGAACCGATGAGTAAACAGGTTCAAAGAGGGCTCAGGACGCTTGCTCGAGACTGCAGAGCGAGAAAGCCCGGGGCTGGGGCTCTCCGGGTCTGACCTGGGACCCTGGGGCTTTGAGCAGACCTGATGCTGAGCGGGCACTGCAGCCCAGCACTGTCCCCTCCTCGTCGGCGCCCTATCCAGCACTGCAGTTCCCCGCCACGCTGAGGGCCGCCCAACATCCAGCGCGCACACCCATCGGCCCCGCACCCCCAGAGGACCCCGGCCCGGAACACGCCGCCTCCCGTGCCCTGCCTAGCCGGTTCCTCACCATGGTCCCGAGCTGTTCCTTTGGCGCCCTGGAATGGATCTGAACGCGCGGCACCGGGAGCCGCCGGGCCGGGCCTGTCAGGCCCCTCAGGAGCAGCGGCGTGAGGATGGACATGACCGCACCGAGCAAACCCCAACCTGCTGCCCGCGGAGCCCAAGGTCAGGAAGTCAAAATGGCTGAGTGGGCCGGAAGTTCCGGGGCTGAGAGGCCGGACAACAGCGGCCCGGAAGTCCCTCGGAAATGACGCAGGGACACGCCTTCAGCCCGCCTACAGTTTTTGGCGCGTATCTCGAGACAGCCAATCGACACCGACCTCCCGCCGAGGGGCGGAGCATGGAGGGCGTTTCTTTGGTTGTTTCCCGCCTATCTTCGTGAGTGACATCAAAGCCCACCCCATCATGACAGCGAGCCAAGACCGCAGCCTTCACGCCTCGGTCCATTCACTAATACTCTCAACACTTCTCAGAAATCTCCTTTACATTTTTGTCTTTGTTTTGTTTTGTTTTTAAATTTTTTTTAATAATTACTTTATTTAACTTTATTTATTTATTTTAACTTGACCAGAGAAGAACAGAAAGAAAGAAAATGAGAAAGCAAGCTGCCAGGTCCGGGGCTCCAACAGTGGCCAACCATGAGGAAGTCCAGCGCCCTTCACCACCATGCCACCTGCCGGCCCCCATTCATTTTTTTTAATAATTATTTTATTTAACTTTATTTATTTATTTTTAATTTGACCAGAGAGGGACAGAGAGAGCTGCCAGTCGGCCACGTGGGAGTCCAGCGCCTTTAATCACCACGCCACCTGCCATCCCGCATTATTGCTTTTTAAGTTAGCTTATTTTTCTCCATGGGAGAAGAGGACAAGAGAGAGAGTGTGATCAACTTCAGCCCCAGCCAACCAGGATCAGGGGCATGCATGTGACCACCCTGTGTGCCCAGACCTAGGAGGAGACTCAGTGACCCTGTTGGGGGTCCCAGCATCGCTAAGCTTTGCTTTATTGCTGTGCCATTGTAGCCGGTCAAAGGCCTTCATCATTTCTGGCCTAAATTGCTGACTTATAACTAAACTGCCTTATAACTAAACTCCATTCATTCACTATTACTCTCTCTAGTGTACATGCAGAGGCAGTCAACTTCCTTCCCTCCCTCTTTCATTCCTTCTCTCTTCCCTTTCTTCTATCTTTCTTGTTTCTCAATCTTCCCTCCCTTTCTTTTTCTTTTTCTTCTTTTTAGAGATTTCTTCTACAGGGCACCTGTACGCACTGGAGAGACAGAAAGTGAGAAATCACCCCCCAGGAAGAGTGGCCACACCACAACTCCTTCTCCTCCATTCTCCTCTCAAGATTTTGAGCATGCACACACACATGCCCAGAGTGAATTTTAAGCCACTGGGTCCAGGACTTGAACTGCAGTCAACTATGTGGGAGTCCACGATGTAACCATTATGCCATCTGTAGGTCCCTCTTTGTTTACTTTTTTTTTCTTTTTGGAGATGTTTTAGCTATAGGGCACATGATCTCGCCAGAAAAACAGAGAGACAGAGAGACAGAAAGTGATATCACCCCACGGGGAGGATGGCCACGCCACAATCCCTTCACCTCCATTCTCCTCTCTGGTTCTTGGGCACGCACACACATGCGCCTGGCATGAGTTTAAGCCACTGGGTCCAGACTTGAACTGCGGTTGACTACATAGGAGTCCAGTGACATAGCCATTACACCTTCTGCTGGTCCCCCTCTTTGTTTTCTTTAAACACAGTTCTGACCAAGTCATACTCTATCAGTGGCTTCCATTTCTTTTTAGATAAAGTTCTAATTCCTAGATGTTACTCTCTAGCCTCATTTCAATATCCATCATGTTCCTTGCTCTCTGGTTCCCTCCAAGTTTTTGCATTTTATGCTCTGCCTAGAACACTTTTTCAACTCCTTAGCCTTTTTTTTTTTTTTTTTTTTTTTTTTTAGTTTTTTTTGTAAAAGCGCTATAGCGCGAGCGAACAGAGACAGACAGAAAGCAAGCGAGAAATCACTCCCCAAGGGGGATGGCCATGCTGCAATCTCTTCTCCACTTTCCTCTCGGGATCTTGGGCACGCACACACATACACCCAGCATGAGTTTAAGCCACTGTGTCCGGGACTCAAACCACAGTCAACTACATGGAAATACAGCGACATAGCTGTTATGCCAACTGCTGGCCTCCAAAACAACTCTTTTTTAAAGAATTATTTATTTTGTTATTATTACTATTTTTTTATTTTTAGAGAGGTTTTTGCTATAGGACGTGTGCACTCGCCAGACAGACAGAGAGAGACAGAGAGATAGAAAGCGAGAAATCACCCCACAGGGGCGATGGCCACACCGCAATCCCTTCTCCTCCATTCTCCTCTCAGGATCTTGGGCACGCATGTACACGCGCCCGGCGTGAGATTGTCAACCAATCATTTTCCATTTATTGTTTTCTGTATATTTTGCCTTTTTTCCCGTCTTTGATTCCCTATCTCACCCTCTGCCATCTCCCACCCTCCTCCCACACTGTGTCTGGTATCTATTCCTTTCTATGCCTCCTCCATTTTATTGTTTCACTAAATATCTTAATAAATCTAAATATTTTCAATAGCAAGCACAGCTGATATGTACATATCCGTGAACACAAGTCTGACTTTAGGCATAAACAAACCTCAGTGAATAGAATGAACATACTATAAAGTAGCACCTAACTAGGGCTATATAGCTTAACTGCAGTCATCAAATAGGTATTTCTAATGCCTTTTTTTTTTCTTCTGAAAAATTTTTTTTTATTAATTTACATTCATTCCCTGAGCATCATCACAACATTCTAAATGTGGTTTCCCATCTAGAATATACTATATAGTGGCTTAATAATGCATGTTATCATCCATAATATTCCATTTCTACTTTCATATATATGTTTTTTTACCCCATGTCTAGCCCTCTGCCCTATTCCACTCTCTTATTACACTATCTCTGCTGTCTACAGTTGTCTTCAATCCCTTTTCCCCCAACATTTCGTTGGTCACACAATATCATAAGTAATCTAACTACTTTCAATAGCAAGATCAGCCGATGGTTTCAAGAAAAGCAGTTTTGAACTGGTAAGGATATTTCTTTGAAACTTAAAGCCTAGAAACAGGTTAGTATTCTGTTCAAATAGTCGGAACATGAATCTATTGATAGCTGAAGACAGGACAAAAGTCCTTAAAACCAGACAACAAAGCTTAGAAGAAAAGCAGCAATATTTTAGTCAAGTCGTAGAATACTGTTTCATCAGTTCAGTCTCATGTACTTAATCTTTCTTCTGTATCTGTTGAGGTTCGATGTTCCAGATTGAAATCTGGGATGTAATACTCAACTCCAGCTTTTGGCCCTACAATTAAGTTGCCCATTTTCTTAGTTTCTGAACTCTTATTTCTGTGTGTCTGCATTTAATTTTACTGACATAGCACTCCCTTAAGAACTTCTTGGAGATCCGGTCTGGTGCTGGTAAATTCTTTCAGGTTTTGTTTATCTGGGAAAGTTCGTGTCTTTTCTTCCCAAATGAACGATAACCTTGCTGGGTACAGAATTCTCGGTTGAAATTGCTTTTCCCTTAATACTTTGAATACATTTTCCCATTCTCTCCTCGCTCTCATTGTTTCCGATGAGAGGTCTGCCGTTAGTCTGATGGGATACCCTTTGTAGGTAACTTGCCTTTTTTCTCTTGCCAGTCTTAGTATCTTGTCTTTGTCTGTGGTTTTGGTCAATCTGGCTATAATGTGTCTTGGAGAAGATCTTCTTGGGTTGATTCTATTTGGGGTCCTCTGTATTTCTTGGGACTGAATCTTTGAGTGCCTCTCCAGGTTTGGAAAATTTTCTTGTAAGATTTCATGGAATAGATTATCAATGCCCTTATGAGTCTCTTCACCTTCTGGGATGCCTATTATCCGGATGTTTGGACGTTTGATGGTATCTAGTACTTCTCGCATATTATTCTCAAATTTTTGGGCCATTTTCTCAGTCTTCGCGGTGGATTTTTCTAGGCCAACCATTTTCTCTTCTACATTAGAGATTCTATTTTCTGTATGATCTAGTCTGCTTTTAATACTTTCAAGGGAGATTTTGACTTCTTGTATTATAGCCTTCATCTCTTAACAGTTCCATCTGATTCTTTTGTAAAGTGTGAAATTCCTCTTTTAGATCTTGCATGAATTTCCTCACCTCCTGGAACTCTTCAACTCCTTTCTCCTTCCTCTTCAGCAGTTCCTTGTCTTTCTTTTCTTCCATCTCTGTTAGCTTTGCCATTAAGAATGTTCTGAATTCTTTATCAGACATTTCCATGATTTCCATTGAACTGTGTGTGGATAAAGAGGAGCTATCCTTTTCCCTTGTGGGAGAGGTATTTTCCTGCTTCCCCATATTTCTTGTGGTCCTGCAGCGATTTCTAGTCATCTGGTGGATGGTCGGTTTCTTCCCAAACTTGGAAGTTCAATCACGTGAGTTTTGGATGCTGGAGGCCCAGTTATCAGTGGGACATCTTCCTTTCTGCCCAAATGGCTAGATCGCAGGAGCCATGGAGCTGTCTGTCTCTTGAAGAAGGGCTGTTCCGCCCGGCGTGAGTTTTAAGCCACCGGGTCCGGGACGTGAACCACGGTCGACTACGTGGGAGTCCAGCGACATAGCCATTACGCTAACTGCTGTTCCCTATTATTACTATTTTTAAAAATTTGACCAGAGAGAGAGGGAAAGGGAAAATGAGAAAGCAAGCTGCCAGGTTTGGGACTCGAAATGCAGTCAGCTATGTGGGAGTCCAGCACCTTAACCGCCACACCACCTGCTGGCTTGATACAGCTTATTTCATTGAGAAATATTTATTAGTCTCTAGGAACTGTTTTAGACACCAGTTGTAAACAGGACAGACAAGGTGTCTCTTATTACAGAATTGGCATTTTAGAAGGAGAGACAGACAACAAACAAGCACTTAATGGAAAACTTCTAAATGCCATGGTAAGGGACCAGTAGAGAGCATAGTGGTTACATCGCCGGACTCCACGTGGACTACCACATGGTCTATTGCAGTTTGAGTCCTGGACCCGACGGCTTAAAAATCATGCTAGATGTGTGTGCATGCATGCCCAAGGTCCTAGGTTTGGGGGGGGGTGGGAAAGAAGGGATTGCAGCTTGGCCTTACCCTGGGGG